CAGATGTGTAAGAGGATTGAAACATGGGAGCTGGAATTCTTTCCAGGTAACAAGCAAGGAGGTGGAATAGTTTCAAATAGCAAGGAGCTGGGATTACTTCCAGGTAACAGCAGGGGGGGGGGCGGCGGTGACCAGACAGAAGCAAAGCCCACTCTGCCTGTGTTGGAGATGGATGTGGCCCGAGGCCGGAGGACAGGGACGCAGAAGGCACGTGGGCCTCCAGGCCCATTCTTTGTCAGAATGGCTGCCTGGAAACTGACCCCTAGAATGCCCACCTCTCTTCCACCGCTTCCACTCCACACCCCGGCCAGGGCAGTCCGAGGCTCCTTGGCAAGTCAACAGAGATTCATGGAGCACCTTCTGTGTCCCAGGCACTGTTGTAGGCACTTAGGACATTCTCATTCGCCGGAGAGGTTACAGCCCCAGGGTGCCAGGCCGCCTGTGCCCACCACTCACAGGTGATTTTGACCATGGCCCTTGGCTACACCACCGATCTTCACCACAGATCAAGTACCCAGAATCCATCCTTCCTCCCCTTCAGACTCAGCAGGTGGGCTTAGCTCCTTCTCCTTCCCCCACATCCGTCGCCATGCAGAAGAAAGAGGTTTTTCAAACCTTCCATGCCTTTCCCTTTGTCTGTCTCGCCTTTTTCTCCCCCTTCTGCGTGATATTTTTAGAAATCCATGTGAAAAGACTAGGAATTAATATCCCTGCCTCTGCCACCACCCCCGTTATTTCATAAAGCTGGCTCTTTATGTTGCTTTACATGCCTTAATATATGTTCTATGGAGATTATACATATTATATAGACATATGTAATATATAGATCTATATCTATTTGTTCGGGTGTCTGGCCCTTTCCTGGAGCGCCTGGCCAGGCCCACCTCTCCCCTGTACGCCCACGCCATCCCTCCCACGTTGAGGCTAGAGCCCTCTTTGATCCAAAGAGGGGGAGAGGAAGAGGCTTATTTTAAGACAGATCTATTTTATGCTTTTGTGTAAAAGCAGATATATTTTCCAAATGTGCAATGTCTGAATGGGACTGGCAAAGACGCCAGCATGAGACCGGGGTAGCAGCCCTCGTCCCCATCCCCACCCACACCCCACCCACGGCTTCCTGTCTGCTACCCGGCCTGAAGGGCTGTACCCAGCCTGCACCCTAGAAGCATGCCTGCCAGGGGACCTCCTCGTGAAAGGGTTATCTACTGGATGGAAATCCTCCTGAAGGACGTTTACTCCAGGCCCAGCGATGTGCACCAAAGTGCACCCACCACGCAGGCACACTGCGGCCCCGCCCCACCCCACCCTCACCCCCCGTCCTCCCCCACTGGAAAGGGCAGGCCAGGCGGTGGTGGCCGCACACGCCAGCCTGCCCCTCGGTGGACCTCCGCCGCCACTGTGCAAAACCAAAAGGAAGCGGGGCAGGGGTCCCCGGTGCCATCGCTGCTCCTGGGCACAGACGCTCTCGAGATCTGTGGACGTCACAGGTGGCTTTTCTTTGGGCACAGCACTCGTCATGGACATGTGTTCATGTGACCTGCCTCTGTGCAGGAAGTTCGCCAGGGGAGGGTGCTACAGTCTGGCATCCAGATTGTGGACATTAGCCTCCGGGCGAAGGCCGGTCCCAAACATGGTGTGGCATCTCAGCCTTGCCTGAGAATGGGAAGCCCCCCTTCGCCCTGGCAGGCAGCTGCCAGGATGCTCGAAACTGCACCAGCCCGGCCTGCCCCACGGCGAAAGGTGGCCAGAGTGAGCCAGGGCACGTGCATTGCAAATCTAGGTCTGTCTGCAGACTGGGTAGTCTGACTGGAGCTCCTGGCCAGCACTGAAGTCTTACCCTGTCCAGCGTTGGCATTTCTACTGGCACCCTGCTCCCAGCCCGGGGCAGCTGGCTACGAACGAACTGGGCCCAGATGGAGACCCTTGGCTGAGTAAACCCCTGGGGAAAGTCCTGGTTGACTGATCTAGGGCCTTGCTTAGCACATGCCCTCCCTGAGGCTGCGATCAAACAACTGAAAAACATGAGGTTGCAAGTGGGCGGGAGCATGCTCTCTGGGCAGGACTGGCCACAGCAAGGTGGAGCCCCACCTCTCCCCTCCCCTCCCCTGTAGGCTCCCTCCACCTGGCAGCTCTTAAGACTAAGGAAAAATACTCCATATACTATCTACATATACCTATGTATGCACATCTTGGGGCCAATTTGATCCGCTAGTATTAGTCAATAAACCATACGAGGCGATGTGTGATCTCAGTGTCTTTAGTATAAAGTGACCTTAGAAGGAGAGTGGGGGTCAGAGAGGCAGAGGGTCTCTGTCTGGGGGCCACAGTGCTAGGGCAGCCCCTTCGCATCTTCCCTGCCAAGGGCGCCACTCCCGGGGGAGGGCGCTGTCCTGGCTGTGAGCGGCCGGCAGCCTCCAGCATCCTTTTTAGACAGCACCCCAGTGAGCTCTGGATTTGTATCTTGCAAGTTTGTATAAACCCAATCCAGGAAATAAAACGAATGGTTTGTACATGTGCTGTGCATCTCCCGTTCTGTGGCTGGGCAGGGGCAGGGTGGGATTGTGTGTGGTGTGTGGTTCAAGAGGAAGGCCGGGTCAGATTTGACAGCTGGTTTGGACTTTTTGAGACCCCCTGTTCTCACCCCTTGCAGCCCGTGAGCAGGTGTGGGCACTATTTACGAATACAGGGATGACGCAAAGCTACTTCTGATTTTATAAGATCCTAGGAAGAGCGATGATGCTCTATGGGGTCCCCTTCTTGAATCAGAGGTAGTGGGGACCAGATGTGTAAGAGGATTGAAACATGGGAGCTGGAATTCTTTCCAGGTAACAAGCAAGGAGGTGGAATAGTTTCAAATAGCAAGGAGCTGGGATTCCTTCCAGGCAACAGCAGAGGACCAAAATGCCTGCTCTCCACAGAGCCCCCCACTCCGCTCCCCTCTACTTGCATAGCCCAAGGGATGCAGGCTCACGTCCCTCACGTTTTCTCGGGAACTCGCCTGCCCCACTCCCCATCATCACCAACCTTGAACCTGGGCCAGTTGGGTTCTGTTCCTGGCACCTGCCCAAGCATGTCCTAAGGATGACCTTGCAGTGTGTTCCTCGGAGAAGTCCCCTGCAGAGCCGCCACTTTACAAACACGGGGTGGGTGAAGGCTCACGTGCTGTGCATCCTCTACATTCATCAATCTCGATCACATGGAGACACGTAAGCTGTCGCGTGTCCCACAGGCGGGGGAACTCACTTCAGGCAACATCTCTGGGCTCCTTATTCCTGGCCCTCCAGTCAATGTTTCTGTCACTTACACAGACCGGTAACCTGAATATTGTCTTTCCGCCACACTAAGTACTGGCCCCAGGAGCCTGCTGATTGGCTTTCTGGAAGGACCACAAAGTCCCCCACACCTGGTATTTGCCTGGAGCCTGTGGGGCACCGGGGTTGGCCAAGACCCGGGTTTCTGGCTGGAGTACCCCGGCTCCGAGTGCAAACTGCTTCCTAAACCAAAAACCAAACTCACTGCCATCAAGTCAGTGCCAACTCAGAGCGACCCTGTGGGACAGGGTAGAACTGCCCCCTGGGGTTCTGAGACGGTCACTCCGGATGGAAGTAGAAAGCCCGTCTTTCTCCCGGGGCGACTGGTGGTTTCAAACTGCCGAACTTGTGGCTAGCAAACCCAACGTCACCACTCCACCCCTGGGGCTCCCTGAGGGGATTGAAATCAGCCCAGTCTGGACACGCCTTTGTGCAAATGAGTGGCCCCCCAGGGTGGCGGGGGCAGGAGAGGAGACTCCAGGTGGCTCCTCTGTCCCGGATCTGTTCTGGTCCGCTGACCGGTTTCTGGTCTGGAAATAGACTCAGTGGTTTGGTGAGCCGTGGGAGGCTCCGTGTGGAAGTGTTGTGTGCCTTGTGTTCTTCCACGTTATAAAGTGTTGTACGTGTCGTGTTTTGTCCAAACAAAGCCACGGGGAACTTGCTCTCTGTACCAGAATGTTCTCTGCCTTCCTAAGAACTGACTGGGAGCCTTTACGGTGGAGACATGGGAAGGGGAGTGATGACTAAGTACGTCGTCAAGCCTGGACTGAGGGGGAGTTCGCATCTCTGGGTGATTTA